ATTAACATTTATTCTTATTGAAATAGAAAAAAAAAATCAAAGTCCGTATTGTCAGAAGTTTGTGTTGAACATAAGAAATATATTCAACTTTTTTGTGAATTTAGACGAGAAGACAAAAGGTGAATGAGACCAACGAAAGATAACATGCTCCAGTTTCATATCATAATCGATGTAGACGATGAAGACACTACTCTAGAATTACCTAGGAAAAAGGTAAAGATGAAGAAGAATTGATCTCGTCTTAGTAAAAAATAAAATAGAAGTAACAAAAGATAATGTTTTGTGAATTATTATAGAATAGTTTTATTTTTTAGTAAAATTAGGAATCTTTAGAAGGGATTTTTATAATCTATTTTTTAGTGCTTTCATATGCATATGTGGATGTTTTTATCATATAAAATTGTACTAGAGTTAGCATTAATCTACAGTTTATGAATTTTTTATTAACTATTTTCTGTTATTTTAGCCTACTTTAAATCAATCATCTTGGCCCGTTGATTTTATTATTCATCTTTCTTTTATAATGTTATTTTTTAAGTGTTTTTACTTTCATAACACTATACTTTCTCAGGTCAAGCTCGGTTTCATGCCGACCCAAATAAAATAAAAATTTAAATTGGCTTTAGATTATATTTATCTCCTGACAATTCAACTATCAACATAAAAAATTAAACTGGGTGTTGCCTATTCAAACAAAATCAAATAAATAAATAATTAAAGTGTAATGGATGAGTAAATTTTAGTAAGAAAATAAACCAAAAAATACTTAATCAAAGTGAGCAAAAATTATCAAAGAGTAACCGAGGAACAAATTTTAGTATGAAAATAAACCAAATATACATAATCACAGTATTTAACCACGTGCATTACACGTGCATAAAATCTAGTATTAACAAAAAGAGAAGTTAAAATAGAGCAACATACTCTATTAAAAATTTATTGAAAGAGAAATAATTACAAAAGGAGAAGATATTACAAGAATGTACCAACATAGTTATAGTTGTTTCATAAAGAATATAATCTTATCCTGCTTTAGAGATCCATAAGGATGAGGATCGGATAGATGTTATGGCTAAGGAGAAATTTTTAAAACAGCCCATTTTTCAATTTTATTAGGCAAAATCGACCGTCCCAAAAAATAATTAGCAAAACCGACCTAAAATGGTCGATTTTGCAGTTACGGAACTGCACGGGACTAGTAGTAGTCGATAATATCGTGTGATATGTTTGATTTCTAAGTGGGTTTGTGGTGTTATTATGTTGGATTTGTTAGTGGGAGTTTGTGGTGTGATGTGATTTGTTTGATTTGAAATGAGTATGTGGTGAAATCAGTATGTAATTTGTTAGTGGGAGTTTGTGTGGATGTATGTAACGGGACTACATGAAATGTAGTGGTGAAATGAGTATGTTACTTGTTAGTTGATGTTTGTGTTGATGTATGTACAGGAACGGCTTGAAATGCAGCAAGAAAGTGCACAAAAATGTGCACAGCAAGTGCACGGGACTAGCAGTCTCGTGCACTTGCTGCACCTGGTCTCTGCTTAAAAGTCGGGACTAGCAGTCCCGACTTTTAAGCAGAGAGCCCAGCCGCTGGTCAAGACCAAGTGCACGGGACTAGCAGTCCCGTGCAGTTCGTAAAACACGTTCAACTGCAAAACCGACCCTTTTCTTCTGAAAAGGGTCGGTTTTTCTAATATTTTTCACTTTAGGTCGATTTTGCCTATTAAATTCTAAAAAAGGTTGGTTTTAAAAATTTCTCCTATGGCTAATCATGTAGTTCATATATATACACATGCGCGCGCACACACACATACACACATATAGAGTAATGATATTATGAGATGGTGAGCTCAAATCTTATTGTGAGGCAGACTAATAGGCTCATCAAATTCATGATCGGCACTGTACATCTTGTTTAACACGTTATCAAATACATATGGTAAAATTTTCACACAATTTGGAGTCTTTTAGAATATGAATCAAACTAGTTTGATATGTTAAATTTTTAAGCAGTTTAACAACCGTCCCTTTTACATATAGCTAAACCAATGATTAAAAATCTTAAAACGATATAATCTTTTTTAACATCTAGATCATGATGAGTGCAAATTACGATGGGCGGTGCCGATCATCGTTTCGAGTAGCCTATTTGGCTAGCTCAAGATAATAATCTGATCTCACCATCTTATTTTATCACTTTCCTATATACACACACATATGACAACATGCGAACAGTAAATCTTACATGCACCAATCACCTTTTTTTCTCCTTTTTTAATTTCCAACTAAATTTTTTCCAGAAATTATTTCTTAAAAAGCTCTGTATCTAATTTTTTTAACAATAATTATTTCTTTTAAAATACCGTCCCCCACTAAATCCTATCTATCCAATAATAACCACATATCTCTATTTTGTTAATTCTAACTCAAACATTTTTTTTTCCAAAATTGATTTTAAAAAAATCCGATCTTCAAAACTACTTCTCTTAGCCATGTCTCTAATAACTACCTCCACGGCTCCACCGACCCACATTTTGAGAAGTTCATAGTTCCCCCGAACCCTTTCAACAACCTTGAAAATAATCATAATTATTCATGACAATTAAACCAACTAGTAGTCGTCTTAATTCAGGTATCTTACTTCAAACCCCATTTGTTAGTTTTCAATTTCTGTTTATGCTTTTTAGACTTCTAGGTATATTTTTATTTCTATCTTGATTATATCAATCAACCCTCTATTTGATATTGCAAACTATTTAACTTTGTCTTTCATGATCTCACATGTTGTTTTGAACTTTTGTATTTCATGATCTTCTTGTACCTATCTAATTTTGCATTTCATGATTTTTTACAATTTTGATCATGATTTTTTTATAACTATCTATATTTGTATCTAATTATATGTATTTCATGATTTTGTTCAATTTTGATCATGATACAGTAGATATTTAATTTTTGATTTTCATGGTTGTATGTGGCTTTGGTATTAAAGATATTTATTATTTATTATAGGTGGGCGATGAATTATATTCAAAATTTATATATGCATAAACTTTAATAGGAAATACATTTATGGAATACTCCTTTACACTGTACTAATAATGAAAATATTTTATTCTGATTTTCCATTTTAGTTAATAACTTTTTTAGATATACATAAACGTGATTGATACGTGGTTTAATATAAAATGAGTCTTCAGTTTCAGATTGAAATTAGGCTAAATTGATTCATATTATTTTCACTATTACAAATTCCTGTAATTGCCGTAATAGATGATAATAAAACAATTTCACTTGCAAAAGTAGTGTACTAACTCTTGTTGAAAAATAAAATTACAAGAGGTGTATATATCAGATACATTGTTGTTTTATAGTAGAAATTAGATATGAATAGGTAGTTGTTATTAATAAATGCTTTGAATGGATACAACTACCAAATTGGAGACCCTTGAAAAAAAAAAAAAAAAAAAAAAAACAGTTAACTAAAATTTTGAATAATTTTATACAAACCGTATAGAAACTACATGGTCTCTCAACTATCAACTAAAATCAAATAGTATATTACAATTTAATTTAGCTAATTTTAAAAAGCATAAAATCTTATTAACAGTTAAAGACTGTATTTAAAAGCCCACCCATTTGCATAGGTATATAAAAATTTAATCAAGATGTGATTATTCAGCCATGCTTTACATGGGATTATAGACTAGTTTGTATGTGTGTGTATAAGTATATAAAGAGAAAGAGCAAAAGAGAACAATAAGGGGAAAAAAAGGTACGATCAAGATCTAAAAACGAAAAAACAACATCCAAATTTAGAATCAAGCGTTATTGCCCCTAGGGATACAATCATGAATCATGGCTAACGAAGCAACTTTAGAAATTACATAAAAAGTAGGGAAACCTTAGAAAAGTTTATGGTATGAGTCTTTGATGTCTATCTAGCTAGCTAAAGTTACATTCAATCTCACTTTTTTAACTCTACCTCATGGTACATTTGTGGTATAATTCATTGTTAAGATAAAAGTTGTCAGAGTTTATTCTAAAATTATATCTTATATTTACTCTAAAATCCACGGATAGATATTTTTAAACACACTATCCAAGTTGACTAGCTAGTCGATAATGAAATTAACTGCTACTTTTTTGTGTTCCCATATCAATTGCCTCCTTTATTTAATTTATTAATGTAACATGAAATTACCAAGTTCTTACTTCCCTCCTACGACCACCACTATCCCAAAGTTCCCACTGCCGATCCGGCTGCCTCAAAAAAACTTACATAGGTGGTTATTTTTGCTTATATTTTTCCATCCTTGCGGACAGTAATTTTAATTAATTAGAAAACGATCATCATCACCTTTCAATGAAGATGAGAGGATCCGGTACCATGCAGTTAGTATGAGCTAGCTTCTATTATTAGTTTATGCCGCACGCAAACTACGAGCTAGTGTATTCATTTGTTGTTTAAATTTGTTGTTTATATTAAATAAAAAGACAAAAGAAAGTTCTAGTACATCAAAAATAGGATGTATTCATTTGTGGACATCAATTGGATCTACGAGTGTAGTGTTTACAGTGGCGGATTAATTTTGTCCCAAGATGTCCTCATAATATAGTTTTGTTCCAACTAGTACTAAATATGTGTAGGAGTATAGGTAGTCTAGTGGTGTCATGGGGCTGAGATTTACGTTGTTTGAGGGTGAACCGAAAATATTTAATCATTTGATAAATATTTAATCAAGTTTCCTAGTTATACCATATTTAATCTAATGTTTTATACTAATTATCACAAATTAAAGTAATCATAACTTATACTAATGGGTAGACAAGAATATAACTTGGTCAATTATATAGAGTTCATCTTACTACATATTTATATACATGGTCAGTTAAGGGAAACGGTGGTTTACATCCTCATGTTCGTAAATTAGTTAGCATTACCAATTAAATTTACCCCCAATGCACCAAATTCCAACCCTTCTTGTATCACACGAATCTGTAACCAAATAGTTCCTTGTGCAAATTTAATGCAGTCATAAACCACCAAGCTAGAACAAAATACTAGATTGTTACACGCATAGACATACTTGTACATTATTGTAGTAATTATATTTCTACGTATTGTAGTTTACACTTCCCATCCAATTCACTCCAGAACAAACTTCACTAATGAATTTTAGCATGGGTAAAGCTGTTTTCATTAATGCATTTTTCTTAACACCATTCCCAAATCTCAATAACACAATTCACATAAAACTCTTATCTCTTGGCCTAACAAGCACCTTGAGTCCATTCCTCATGTACAAAGTTGTGGTCATTTTGGGCATCACCTCTTGCCCTTTAACAACCTCAACATGATACCTCATCAGAATTGAAGCAGCCACCATCTTCATCTGCATGTAAGCAAATTTCTTCCCTATACAAAGCCTGGGCCCTGCATTGAACACTGCATACTTAAACTGGTTCTCACTCACAAACACGCCATCCTTGATCCACCTCTCTGGTTTAAACTCTCTGAAGTCGTTTCCCCATATTGACTTATCCCTCGCCATCGAATATATCGAGTATATCACCCTCGCTCCCTTCATAACCCTTGTTCCATCGGGGAACACGTCGTCGTTCTGAACCTCTTTAAAGTCGATTGGAACCGATGGGTAGAGTCGAAGAGATTCTGATAGGGCTGCTTGGAGGTACTCCATTCGTTTAAGTTCGTCGGCTGTTAATATTGTGCTAGAGTTGAGCCTATGTTTTCCCAGGATAGTTGAGATTTCTTCGAGGATGCGTTGCTCGACATGCGGATGCTGGTTCAGTAGCCAAAAGAACCACGCCAGCGCCACTGAGCTGGTGTCACGTCCGGCAAGGATGAAGCTGATGCAGAAGTCCTTCAGGAATTTGTCGGAGAATTTGAATTTGCCTGATTCTACATCATCAACTTCCATGAGCCTTGATAACAGATCTGATCTATTGTCGAGTCCTTCGAGCTTCAGAAATTCAGCTCGACGCTTGGACACTGTCTTCTCAGCAAACTCATGCACTGTTTTTATCGCCTCCTTCAGTTTCTTCTCCGTACAAACATTTAACGACTTCATCACCTTCCACACGAACGGAATCACTGGAAGATCGATTCCCAGACACCCAGGATCAACACCAAACGCCGCCGTGCAAATATTATCGAAAGTAAATCTCAGAAAAACATCCTGAAGATCTACAGCCAAATTCCCGTCTGCGAGCCTCTCCAGCAGCACTAGCAGCTTGCGGTGCACCAGCTCCCGAATAGTCTCGACCGAATACTGAGCAAACCTTGCGGAGTGCATCTCAGACGTCGCAGCGCGGCGCTGATCCTTCCAAGTCTGATCGTCGGCGTTGAAGATGCCGTCGCCGAGGAAATCAAGAAAGCGTTCACGGTAGTACCGGCCTTTAGGGAAGTTGGAGAAGCGGGTCTTGAGCATGTACTCGATGTTGAGGGGGTCGATGGTGATGATGCCGTAGCATCGGCCGAACCACATACCGCGGAAAGGGAAGGTGCCGCCGGAGCAGAGGACAGCGTCTGTGGCCCACTCGTAGATGTTGGAGATGTGGAAGAAGAGGGTCGGGATTATGCCGAGGACTGGCCACATCATTGGACCCTTTGAGGTTAGGTAGTTCATGAGTGAGGATGAAAGGAAGAGGAGGGTGATGGCGATGGCTATGTCGGCGAGGGTGAGGTTGAGGAGGAGGGAGGGGAGGAGAGACATTTTGCTGTGTTGTTAAAGGATGAAGGGATGGTACCACAATTTTTGTATAAGGTTGGCTATATAGGAAGGGGAAAATTAGTGCCATACCCAAAGTATATTTTGTGTGGATTTTAAGCAGCATGTGTTGAAAAGGTGACAAATGAATGCATATTTTCACTAAATACAGATATGTTTTCCTTTTGGATTTAATGGTTTCTTATATTGGCTCATTTAGCAAAACGAGTTATCAACAAATAGAAGGATGAGATTCATGCATTTCGACGTGGCAGAGAGTGGACACCTCCCCGTACACTAATTCTTAAATGCTTCATGAGCATCAGTAGCAGTTTACAGGTCCTCGCCGAGCAAAACGCCCTGCTCAGACGCGGATCTAGAGGGCCCGAGCCAAGTACGGGTCCAGGCCTGAGCCAAATCAGGCCAGGCACCGGGCTGGTCTAGATTTTAATAATATTTTTTTATAAAAAAATGCTAAAAAATAAGATTTTTTTGCAAAAAAATGAATTTTAAAAGTAATTAAAATATGAGAAATTTTGACAAAAATTCTATCTTATTATTAATCCACTTACAATTATACAATTTGTAGAGTTTATAAAAATTAAAATAATAAAAAATAAATTGCATACTTTTTATTTTTTTACAAAACAATTGTTAAAAAAATAATATCTTTTGAAAAAAGGAATTTTAGGAGTAATTAACATATGATCAATTTTGATAAAAATTTTACCTTATTATTAATCCACTTACAATTATACAGCTTGCATAGTTTATAGAATTTAATATAATAAAAAAATAAACTTCATACTTTTTCTAGCCGCTGGACGGGGTCGAATTCGGTACCGGGTCGGGCTTCTAAGCCTAGCCCGGTCCAACA